TGTATCTATATATATACATATATATACATATAATCAATGATGTGATAGCATATACTAAAGTATACTATAAGTTGTGTAGTGCACCAGTATTAACTTCAACTTGCAGACGAAAACTGCGCGGCATTCAGCTTAGAACAACTGTAACGAGCCGGCTGACAAGGAAACTAAAATATACAGCTCCTATGTGTATGTATCTGTAAAGTGAGTTGCATCAGTCGCTGGTATCCGTCCTAAACCATATTGTATTTCCTTCACCATGTGTTATACGGTCATGCGTAGCACGCAAAGTAGACTTGCTTCTTCATTAGGCGGCATGTAGATATGTACACGTTCACGGTATCACGCAATTCATGATTATGCAACCGTAGGTGCAGATTGTTGACTATACTGTGAATGGGGTATTTTTTTATAGTTTAACACTTGTGGTGCAACAGAGTTCTTCAGCGGGCTTCGTATATCATAGAAATATAAACATTATACAAGAGATACACACATGCATAGGAACTATAGGTATACACAAGTGCAATGTATTATGCGAACATGGGAGTGCCATAGTGTACGGACATGACTGAATGAGGATAACAACAGTACTACAGGAACCTTAAACCATGGAAAGAGTCCATAACACATAGACTGTGCCGTGATTGTGCTGATATTGAAAAGTCATTGATCATCTTCCGCACGAGCATATATTGATTGACTGTGGTCAAGCAACAAAAACTCTTGAGAGCCTATGGACAATGAACCGAATGCAAAGTATAGCAAATATCCAGGATTGAGATGGGTATTCATATTTAAATGAGGACCTGTTTGGTATATTTGAACAGCGAGCTATTGAATCGATAGATATTAACAGGCTTTAACTGTGCTACATAGTTTTGTGAAACTACTAATTACACACTGCACAAGTCTTCAATACTACGCTGCATAGGCCCAGTCCTCCAATGCTATTCGAATGATGGTAGCACACAGTACAAGTCCTTTAAATTGGGATGTGGTATGAGCTCAGATGCAGTAGGTCAGCGTGGTTCGGATGATGGTAGCACACAGTACAAGTCCTTTAAATTGGGATGTGGTATGAGCTCAGATGCAGTAGGTCAGCGTGGTTCGGATGATGGTAACAGCTGGCGGTGGTACAACAAATATGGTACAAATCCTAAGCCCAGCACTATGGAAGTCGTTCAACGCGGCATGTTGTATGAGCTCAGTATTTCCAGGTGACAAATAAGGTAGATAGACTTCTGCCGGTACTGTGTAAGCAGTATGTATTGTACGAACGATACAGAAAGGGATACTACACAGTCTCTGTATTCCAACGTGATCTTACTTCTGCTAGGAGTGAGATCCTATTGGACACTGGGTACTGTAGAAGTTGGTAGGTAATATGGACTTATGGACTCCGCATGTGTTTCAAAGTGGTTCGTATGGTGGTAAGCTGGCGGGGGTACTAGAACAAGGAGCTGTTGGCAGGGCACACAGGTGAGAATCAAACACGGAATGCAACAAGGTACTTAAAATTTGTAAATCAAATAAATAAGCGTTTACATTCAACTTTTAAATTGGACGTCGGACTGTAGAGAACACGGCGCGCAGATTGTACATACATTGCTATAAGCCCAAAGTAATTGCGCGCTGCTTGGCAATAATGAGCTCACACAATGCTAATCATACACAGATGTGGATCAATGTATAACAATATTTGCTGGAGATCACAACTGCACTCTACACAAACTGTGAACTCGCGCTATGCGAACGGGGCACAAAGACATGAGATGCAACGCTTTTGGTGTCAACGGGACAAGTGACAGCATCATGATGTGAAATCCCACACGTTTTCAGTGGGCAAAGAAAGAAAACATCTGACACCTGTACTGTGAGCGTCATAATATGAAATGTGATAATTCTGATTTCTAAGGTTATGATACGTGTACATACATACATACATACTTGAATACATACATACATACATATATGCATACATATATATATACATACATATATATACATACATACATATATATACATACATACATAAATACATATATATATATATATATATATATATATATATATATACTTATACATATATATATATAAATATATAAATATATATATATATATATATAATATATATATATATATATATGTATATATATATATATAAATTTATGTATATATATATATATATATACATACATATATATATATATATATATATATATATATATTTATATATATATATATGTATATATAATATTTGTTATATGTATATATAACATATATTACATATATATATAACATTTATTACATATGCAAATATATATACATGTGTGTGTGTACATGCGTGTGTGCACGTGTATGCATACATGTATAAGCGAAACACACATAAACACACACACACGTGTACACAAACACACACACACACATATATATATATATATATATTATATCGTGGGAAATCAGTCGAATCACAGATTGTATTTAAAATCAACACAGACTAACACAAACACTGGCGTAACTCGACCTGGGTATGGACCTGTGTCAGCCACCCGTAGAAGGTGGCATATGTTGCAAGTCTAATCCGGGCCATTCCTTCGTCAGCCTCACAGCCGGGGGCTGTCGAATATACTAGTTTGAGACATCTCAGATGGTGCGTCGGTGCATGTTGCCGCCGAGACACTTTGCATCCCGAACGTTGCTGGAAAACAATGCAGCGTTGTACACGGATTTCACCGCTGTTTTATGTAGCGAGGCGTATACATTTCAAACATGCGGATTTTGACTGTCGGGTAACAACTGGGCACGCGATATTATTAGCACACAGATACCGTGATAATATTGTGTGCGTCATGGGTACGCTATAGCCACCAAGGACGCAACACAAAAGTTATAGACAGTGGGCTTTTTGATGTGCAAATAATATAGCGTATTTTCCCAGATTCGTACTATGTGCGAAACTCTGGTTGTAGTTACCATGTGATGTGTACTGACTATGTACGAAACTGATGAATTTGGCGATGTGGAATCTCGTTTTAGCATCAATATTGTGAAATGTGAACATTCCATCAATTTCTTCAGCCAAGCATTGTTGTTGAAGTTGTTATTCGGTTCCTTTTTGATTGTTTTGAAAAAAATATATTAGATGTGGTTTTAGCTCTATTTATTCCAATAACCATCAATCCGTTAACAACAATTGAATGTAACCGATTTTCAATTCGATAAAAATTTATAATGTTTATATGGGTGAGAAATTCTCAGCCGACTGAAAGAAAAAGGACCGCTTTACCATATATGAGTCAACCCCTACGAGCGAACCTTGCAAACATTGAACCTCAGAGCTCTTAGCATGCACCCTAAAACAGCAAAAATAGGGTCATTACGATGAACGTTTATTGATTTCGAGAGCGTACGTTTTAAACAAAACGTATTGAGGCTAATATCAGCTGGGGCCTGGATGCTGGGGGGATTACCGATAAATAAATAAATAAAAATGTCGACAATAATAAAACCGGCTCTCCGACAGACCCCCCTCTGGGCCCTCTCTCACTCTCTGGAATCTCTCTCTTAGTCTTTACAGACACGAAAGAGTGTATGTATATATTATTCAAATCATATATAGACAGTATTTGATATGAAACACATCTATACTGAATTCATTATACTATACACATCACAGTAGTACTGGGTATGTCTGGGTGCTATTGAGATGCAGAGGATATATACAATGTGTTGAAGAGAAGTAAGACTTCTGAAGTAGGATAGTTGGCTTGGCAGTAGCGAGTGTACTTGTTTATGCCTGCCAGCGAACACACTTGCCTTTGCCGCAACAAATATCAATAATTCTGCATACATATACATGTATATAAATACATGTATATAAACGTACATTTCGATATACATACATATTCACTCTTGTATTTATATGTGTATAGAAGGAAATAGGTATAAACAAAAGGTATATTACAAGATGAACAATATTGGTGGCAACGGCAGGCTGGGTGGGGACATGAACCACACGTATCCAAATACTAACAACGATGCCAATGCTCAACAAAATCCATACATACAACAACAGCAACAACAGCAGTACATGAATCATGCACAACATAACCAACAACATGCTATGCCACAGCAGACCATGTCGAATATGCATACCGGGCAACCACCCGTCAGGAGAGAGAATACAGGCGACAATGGGTATATTACCAGTACTAATAGTAATAATAGCCTGAACCCGAATATGGCAAGTGTGAACGCTAATAGTATACCCAGATCGCCACATATGGGGGCTATGCCTACGTCTCCCATGACGTATGATGCGAATCAGGTATGTCTTGGTGCGATTAAATGCTTAGGCCTTTATCTATTTGTACACTGTAATATATATACACTGTAGAAGTATATGTATAGTATTAACACACACACATATATATATATATATATATGTGTGTGTGTGTGTGTGTGTGTGTGGATTTATGTATGTATGTTTGTATATGTATATGTATATA